AGGCAACAGCAATGCTTTCGATTCGATATATGTTCAGTTCATTTAACGCGTTTGTGCTCGGGTAAAATTCCTGAGGCCGCCCTCGACCCATTCGTGGGCATGTGGCTTGGACAGGGTCCGAAGCGCACTGTGCAAGAGTTCTCTGTGCATAAATTCTGGGTCTGAAATGGTGTCACTGATTTGAATGATCCCGTGTTCCTATCATTTAGACCCACATGCAATCCCAATCAAATCCTATATCGAAGCAAACTCAGCTTCCAATTCATTTTCTATTGTCTGTTCGGTATAGTTCTCTGGTATCAGGCCCTTCATGGCTTGCCTGGTCTGCCTTTCTCTGTGTTATAGTCTTACAATCTTGTGGCATGCTATCTTCTCCAGTGTTCTAGCGCAGTAACTTAATATCCCGGGCAGGGTCCTGAATCCCTTGCATGGCTTGGAATGCCAAAGCGCTCCCATGAGCCTAAGGTTTGGGCAGTTCTTGGAAGAGCCTTTCCGAGACGGGGCACCTGTCGATGTGGCCTTCGTGTCTTTGACAGAGGCAGGTGGCGCAGCAGATGGGAGTTCGCTTCTCTGTGGGCTTCAGGTTGTGGGAAGTTGCGCGAAATGGGGCCACAATTGTTGACAGTGAGGCTTTGACATGGGCTTTGTTATCGACTGACGCTCCAGACCAGGGTACCGCTGCATCAATCGGGTGGTGATGCCATTCCTTCGTGCTTGAAGTTACAGTCCCCGCTTGTGATGAATGGCTGTTCTTTTGTGGTGACACGGGGGTGCATTTTCAAGCCTAGTAGGAAGCCCCGAAAGCCAACAATTGAAACCATATCCTTCAAGAATCTCAAAAGAAGATTTCCTGACAGGCCCGCTTCAAGATGCGGGGCTTTGCTGAAGACCAGCTGGAGGCAGCATGTGGGTCTTCCAGATATGGAAAGATAGGGGTCAGCGCTTAGGGCTCAGCGACTGGGAGGGAGAAATTGTCGAACACCCCCAAAGACCTTGCCTAAGCCTGCAACATCATGAGAAGCCTGAACGCATACTTCAACAATGTTATCTAGTATTATCTGCTGCCGCAGGCTGTAATGAACTTTGGTTTCGTATGGTCTGTATCCTTGCACGCAATGTTGCTTCATTCATGCTTCAAATCTGTCCCAGGACCCCTACACCTAGAACTTAGAACAATGGATTCCAACATTCTAGCGAACCAATTCTGAATCTTTGACCGTACCATGCATTCCTCAGCCGTAAATCGAGAAGCCCGCAGTTCCCAAAGCAAGAAAGCCGCTAAGACTCGCTATGGTCCCTTCGCAATCCTGACATGCTTGGTAAGCAAGATCCCCCAAACACTGAAGGCCTCCGTACCCCGAAGCACTCCACATATAGACCCTCCCACCTCGCATGCAGAGGCCTGGAAGCGAAAGAGCGCGGCTTCTGGGCTGGCCACTCGTTAGCAGAACGATACACCTTTGGTGGGTGGGTCCAACAATAGGGCTAGATTTTCTTTGGATGTCTTCTTGGGGTGGGGTGGTAGGCTGGCTTTGACAAGCAGGTGAGCTTTTCTTTTGCTGTGCGCATGGTACTGCGCTAGCCAGCTGAGCGCTCATCCGGGGATTGTGTAGAGAAAGGATCGGGATGAGAGATTTTACCAGGTTCCTGGTCTATCAGGTCCTGGCTGGCTGATTCAAGCCATGCTCTAAGGGCCCTATCTCCCCGGTGAAAATTCTGGGTCAGAAAACGAGTGTCATTGGGGGATATCAATTCTTCAGGTACCCAAGAAATGGGGGGGTCAGCACAGTAATTTTAGGGAGAGGGTAGGGAGAAGGTTGAATCCTGGTTAGCCTGTTCCAGGCGCCTGTTGGCCAGAGGCCGAGGCGAATTAAGGTAAAATGCCTTGCAGGTCCAGGCTCAATGATTCAGGGTTACAAACTCAGTTCGAGGAGTCTTGCAAAGGTATCTAGGTTTGGCTTAACGGCGGCAGTCGTGGTGCAGATTTTCAGAGAATGCTAGCCAGAAATTCAGCGTTTTCAGGTTTTCAGGGGCTCAAGATTCGATTGATGGCGGGGGTCAAGCTGGAGAATTGTTGTGTTTGTAGTTGCGACCCTCAGTGAAACCCCTGTGCAGTTTCTCTGGAGTTATTGAGCATCATAGGTGTAACAGTGAACCCTTTGCTCTTGAGCTAGCAGGACGCCCTCATGCACCGTGACGCCCTGCGGAAGAAGGCCACCTCGAAGCATGGTTGCAGTCAAGCCACAAACGCTGAGAAAAGTATTCCAAGGATTCTTAACTTGGGAGTTTCCCAAAATTAGGGGTAACCTTTTAGGGGTCCCAATATTAAGGATTATAGTTTTTTGGGGTCTATATTGGGGTCCCCTTATTTTGGGAAACTACTACTTGGTGACACCAACACAGAATTTTTGTTGGATCCTCCTCATCCCGATCCGATCCTGAGCCTCTGCCCGTCCTGTTGTGAAGTCATGTAGCTTTGTCATATTGTAGAAGCGTGCTTCTGCCAGCGTGGCTAAGGAGCTACAATCCGTTCTCGTGGTGCAGGATGCTGCTGTTGGCTGCTGTTGGGGAAGGGTACGGGATGTTTGGCAGACAGAGACTCGGGAGTTTCTCTGTCGGGCCATTGCCAAGGGATTATTGGGCTCCCTATCAATAATTCATAATAATTCGGTATGGGCAATCCTGAGAACCCCGCCGTATGATGCCAAATCCTTGTTGCAGCAGAAAGGCTTGGGTATGGTCTCTTTCTCCGTCTAAACAGCAGTAGCAGGATTCAATGTCGATCATCCATGCAGATCAAAACTCAAATCACGGAAAAAAATACCTCAGCTCTTTCTTCAGGAGCTTCAGAGTCGGCAATCAGTGGCTTGAGGAAGTAAGCCTTGTGACAACTATCCCCTGCACCTATTTTTCAGCATTATCTTTGGTTTGTGTCCCCAGATCCGGGGCGTGTTGCAAACCCAAAGCCCGAAAGCTTCAGCTCTGTCTTGCAGGAAGAAGCTGGTCCAGAGCGTGGTTGGAAACGCTGCGGCCTTGGATGCCTTTCTGTTGGGGTGTTGGGCTCTGGGTTTGGGCTTAAGGGCTTAGTTTAGGGATTAGGGATTACTTACTGTTCAGGGATTGAAGGATGACCGCGGCTTGTGAGTAGACTTGAAACAAGGCTCAAGATTGGATAACGTTAGCTGTGACATGTTGAGTATTTACTTGTACTTACTTGGAGGCTCTTCGGACTTATCAAATAGGTTAATGGTGGGGATAGCTGGGGGTATCATGTGGGTTACAGGCTAAGTTTACAACATGGCCCAGCATATTCGGGTTGGGCCCGAGCTTGAAAGGCGACCATTCTTGAAGAGGAGACGCAAATTCGAAACGCAGAAGAAATCCCAACTTGATGTCAAAACTTGTCATTCAGAGGAAGGTTTCATTTTCCGCGGGTGGGTCAAGAACCTTGGCTTCTGAGCGTTTGATGGTCATGTCATACTGTGCGTGCTATGCTGTCCGAAGGCGTATTACCTTCAATCTCCAGCTGGGCACAATTTGATGGTTTTGGGGTTGCGCAATACAGATGCAACGTAATGCACCAGATTTGAGGCCTTTGTAAATATGGACAATTGTGGGCTTCCATGTTGAAGCTGGGCCAGACATGGCCCGACCTTTGCCTTGCCGTTATTCGCTTTGTTGTCGCCGACAATGTTGAGGGCTGTACTAGTGTCCAAAGAACATGAAGGTGAGTTCTAGCAAAGTTATAAGCTTCCTAACAAGAGGCTTCTGACAGTGTTGTCCATTATGCTACGAGAGATGCCTGCAACTACAAATGCTGTCACCTGCACTGAAGCCCTGTCGAGGTAAAGACTGTGCTGGGCTTTCGTCAGGACTGCCAGCATCGGTTGATTTGTAGCTAGCTTGCCATAATGCAAGAGAGGGCAGGTCTAGAGGATCTTCGCAGAGCTAGGCTGAGGCCAGCCAAGAACGGGGGACTGTTCTTGGCCGCCAGAATGGGAGACCTTCCTGAAATCTGTTCTTGTCGTCAGAAATCTACATGCTCCTGCACCAATACATGTCGCATCCCTGGCCGAGAGTACAGTAAGGGGCCGGAGCGCCTCGCGGTGAGGAGCTCTTCGTCCCAGACGACGTTCGCCTCGATGGGGCCTTCACGTTGAACCCCGAGAAGGCCTTCTAGGGTCCACTGGGATTCTCAAGGAATCCTGTAGCGTTGCAGGTATTGGCTCAATATAGGTACTGAGCAGGATGTGTAACGGTAGCAGAAGGTTCGGCAGGGATCGCACAGTTCTTTTTGGACATGTTCGCTCTAGCAGAAATGATACAAATTATAGTTGCCATCAGAATGTCAAACGCGCGGAGAGAGTACTATTGGGGGGCTCTCCTTTCCGCAGGTCAGCAGTAGCTGCAACACCTAAATAGATTGAAGTTGTAGTTTTATTTTATTTTATTTTTATCAGTGTACAATCTATCAACATTTCTGGATCTTGTCATCCCGCCCAAATAGAGCTAAGATAGCCAAGAAGTCTTTGGACTCGAGCAACTTCCCAACCGATGGTGCCGGCATGAATTGGGCATGGAGGCCTTCCTGGGCTCGAGCATCACCCGCCGAGTTGATGGGCTGAGGCCAGTCAGAAAAATTCCCGTGACGTGTGCCGGTGCTGGAAGCGAGGGATAGTAAGACAGTAGATCTTAGAGTCTCTGGGCAGGTTCCCTTTCACTGCATCAAAAACTCCGATGCTCTCCCTGCAACACAGGCTGTGCTTCTTTGGCACCCACTTTCCGATGAGACGGCTGCAGATGGTCCCCAGCTTGGAGAGGGTGGGGTTCCATAGGCTGGCACCGGCAACGGCCGACAGTTCCAGAACTGGTGTGCTGTGATCAGACCTAAGTCGCAAAAAAGCGTGCAGACGTTAGCTTACCCGGACCAATCTGCCACAACCCTTCCAGCTGCACGTGCTAAGCCTGCAACATGCAGAAAATTGCCAACCCACACAGGCATGCACATCGACCACAAGCCGTACAATGCCATCAGCAAAGCATCACTCAAGCTTTGCTGTCTTTTTCCTGTTGACGCAATGTAGTCAGGTGCTGACAAGTGGTCTGGAAGCTTCAGAAAAGCTGATGGCAGCCAAGATCGAGTGGCCTGACGCATTTTGCTTTAGCTGGTCGGGATGTAAGCTGTGCTGCTGAGGATGTAGAAGCATGCAAATGCAACACATGTGCCCTGAACCGTAACCCTACCAGAGCCACAAGAAGCTTCTGAACCCCCACTTCAGGATAAGAAGCCTACGAGTAGGCTCGAAAGCCTTTCGTTTCAGCTACTTGTAGCCTTCAAGACATGCGTGGTCAGCACCTCTGAACTTGCCACATCCAATTTTTCGGGCCAAGACTGCAACCCTCCGCATGGCAGGTATGCCAGGGTGCTGCGCGAAGTTCTTTGTAAAGCGCTGGGTTGGGAGCTGACAAAGCATGACACGGCCGCCCGTTCATCGTTGGTTGATAGGTCTTAAGGGGAGGGTGTTCGGCGGGATTCCTCTTTCAGGGTTTAAGGGTGTTAAGGGCTTGGGAACAAGGATCGTAAGGTTTGAACCTGATGGTTTCAGTTTCAGATGATCTCCACTCCATAGCCCGAATCCATTTTCAGCCTTGTAAACAGCTTGGAATACTCGTGCCTGCAAAGCAATGCAATTATGCCGACCTTGGCTGCATGTAATCTTCAACCACCGTCCATGAGCCTGAGACCTTAGACGTGAACCGAACGGGACAGTAAAAGCCACAAGGTTACATATCAGAGATGGTAAGGCAGAAGTTCCCCAAGGCAACCCCTAATGACATCGCAACGAGGATAGCCCTTACAGACGCCTAATAAGGGAACTCCTGTCTTTGGACACCTTCCTAAGCCGCAAACTCCTATCAGGTGATCTTCATCCAGGGTGACCTCAACAGCCGGACGGTCTTCGATGACAACGGCGCCGGGAGCCAGGCCAAAGATGTCCTCCTCGAGGCGGGAGGCTTGCTAGGCCCCCAGCAAGGAAGTTACTTTCTCAGAACTTTCCACAGAATTTTCCTGGAAAGGCAAATTTCGGCAGCCCCAATTTCCCAACACTGTTACAGTAGATGCTTTGGCAGGTGCTCCACGACCCCCAGCTCATGGCAGCGATCGCCAGCGACCTGCGCTTGCCGCAGGGGCGATGGCACGAGGCGCAGGATTAGCGTTGCATTTGTTTTTGTGCTATTGGAGAGAATTGAACAGGTTCAGTTTAGCCCGCAGCTTCCAGTATGGATGTTGCATGATGTTGCCGCAACGGCATGATTTTTGAGCAGTTTTGGATCTTTCTAGCAAGAGACCTGGGATCTGATATGCACCGCTATTCAGGAACTTGAGCTATCCTACACACAGGGACGCTTTTCCAAGTGTTGGCCCTGCGTCTAATCGCATGTGACCCCTAGATTGTCCGGCTCCAGCGTGGAAGGGAAACAGGGGTGGAGGGGCCGGAGTGGCCCTGAGTACACGTGGCTTCACTAACTGACAGGGTCCCAAGCCGTGTCGGAAGTCAGGTCGTTCCATTTACTGGCGTCAACGAGATGCCTGTCACATACAAGGCCACCCAGCACATGCATAGACTTGAATGCTGGGTATCATGCACAGCAGTTCAGCGACGACAGCACGATGAAGGAAAGAGCCAGTCTGTCTCAATGTTGAAGCACTGCACTCCATGTCACGGTTGAGCTTGAGACGCACAGCTCTACATGCAAGCAGAGCATGTACACAGTTACCCCGCTCAGAACCCATGAAGAAGAGGGCAGTGTAGTGCCCATGTTTGGCCCAGGTGGATCCGAAGCATCTTGCCCAGAGTGTGGGTTCAGGGCAGTGTGGTGTAAGTTTGGCATACCTGTTGAGGATGCCTCCTCTGCATTGCTTTGCAATCCTTGGGAGGCCTGGTGGGGATCCTGAAGTATAGGCTTCAGCATTAGGGAGGAGGTGGAATTCTGAGCGGACGATACCTGTTGCCACTCGGGTTCCAGCTTGGCACCAACAAAACTACCATCCCAGGATGTGCATCGCGAAGAAGGTCACCGTAGGTGACATCCTCAACCGCGTGCATGCTGCTTGGACGCACCGATTCAGATTGATCCAGGTCCTGTCTGTAAGTTGAGCCAAGGATCCCGCCCAGCCAGCGCCGGACTCCCGCGACCCGACGCGACAGCTCGCCAGCGTGCACAGGTGTGGACTTCTGCATTCTTTGTTTGCTAGTGGGTTGGCTCAACCATCGCTGTGCTTCCTCCATGACTTCTGCACATGATGCAGTCATCAGTTTTAGACACGTGGGCACTCAGTACAACATGTGATGTTTCTGCCACGGGCCATCCCCGGTATATGATGGCCAGGTGCAGGCTGTGAAGTTTCAGGCTACTGTATACAACGGATGGTGGGCTGAGCTGTGACTATGCCACCTAGAGATGGTAGTTCCGACAGCCTTCCCAAGAACCCTTGCAAGCGCTGCAGGCGCGAGTTTGGTCACGAGCGGCTTGGCGGCCTCAAGAGAAAGATTGGTTTGCTTTTAGGGCAGTTAAATTAATCGTGCAAGCAAACGTCCATGAATGAATGCCCGGGCTACCCACGCTCTGGGCTTCGCAACCTTTAAGAGTTTCCAACAACTCGTGCAATGCGCACCCCTGGCCAGAAAAGTTGTGAAAAGTCAGGCCTCCAAAATGTTGACACAACTGGTCTCTTGCGCTTGCGCTCAGGTGGGGCTTGAAGAAAGATCCTGCCAAGGTGCGACTCGGGTGGGGGAGGGTAGATTCTCAATCAGAAGTGGTCCAGTTTGACGTCTTGGTCTTCTTCTGTCCGTTGAAGCCCTCCGAAAAGCTCTTCAACCTTTGGTGACAGCTCGGGACACAAAAGAGCCGAACCCTTCAAATCCAAAACACTGTTGCGCTGAAGATCAGGTGAAGCCCACTCATTTCCCAGCCTTCACTGAGCGGGTGCCGATCTCAGCATCCGGGTCACCACCCAAAAACATGTTTTCAGAGACTAAAGTCCAGCCATACAACGGTGTGGAGAATGCTCACAGAAGATGAATGCAGGTCATGATCATAAAGATCGTGCCATGATTTCCTATCCTCGTTGCACTGCTCTCTGTCCTGGTAGGGACCCCGTGATATAATTGATGCAGGTGTGGCAGTTCCCACGTTCTTGCAGTGCTTAGGATGTCCTTCATAAATGGTGAGACTTGCAATAGTTTGCAGTTGGCACCAGAACAGCTGCAAACTGGTTTGGGATTGAAGTCCTGATCTCTCACAGCTTCTTCTGCTGCAAGCAAACGTCAAGTGCTCCAAGATCATCCCCCTGTTCAACTCCAGTTTGCTGAAACGCAGGAAGCAAACTTTATGGTTGGCTTCTGCGGAGTCCTGCTGTTTGATCAAAGTCCGCCGCCAGCTAATTAGATGTCGGGGCTCTTAGCATGAGAAGTAGCCAAAACATCTCAACAACACTGAAACCCTCTACTATCCTGATCAAGTTGTAATTTCAAGTTGTCTCTGCCGAGGTGATTTACTGGGCACCAGATTCCTTGGCCGGCCAGATATCATTCGTGCTTCCAGATGGTGGCTACGTGGCTTGGCCTGTGGTTAGGATGTCTTTCTTGACCTGCATAGGTCCTCATCGGAGAAGTGATCTGGGTACAAGCCGGGTGGGCAGTGATCTCTTGCAAAACTGCCTTACAGGTTGCTAAAGTTTCAGCCTTTCTTGGAGCCTTCCTACTTGTGCTTTGAGGAGTTGAAATTGGGATTCAGGAGGGTTGGCTGGTGACCTGCTCCTTGTTATGTACTTTGCATCGTTTTCTGTAGCCGTTGAATCGCTCCAGGAGATCGTTGGCCACATTGATGGAAGCGTAGCTTGGCTACATTCATAGGCACGATACCGGGCTGGGGGTAAATCCTCCTGTTGCAGTGACTGCGGTAAAAGTGAATTGTCTGAGCAGCTCGGCAACCTCGAAAGGCCTGCTATGCTTGAGGCCAAAATCGCATCATGAATTGGAGAAGCGCCGGGGGGCCTTCTGTCGTACGTACTTGTTTTTTAGGCTTTCCTTGAATCCCTTGCCCGGCTGACGAAGGTTGAAGTGGACTCATAGCTGAGGACCACCGACCTGTGAGGTTGGAGGCCTTAATGGTGCTGGGTCCAGGGCACAGGCAACTTGGCTGATGCAAGGAGCTTTGGAGAGAGCTTTGTGGGATGGCGTTGACCAAGCAAGCCTTTGCAGCTCCATGGGCAGCCGAAGAAACCATATCGCTTCTCCAGTTTGCCAACTCAGAATAAGGACCTTCGAGACCCTGCCCCCTGCAGATTCGCCAGAGGTCAAGGAGCTCGACTGCGTTTTGAACGTGAAGTCTGACATATGCATCAATGGATTTCACATTTGATGATTGTTCTACAAAGCTGGATGATTCATCTTTGGACCTTGCCCTCACCCTGCAACTGGAGGACCTGACCCAGAAGCTGACAAGCCGTCGCTTTTTGGCCTCTTGGACATGCACGTGCGTGTAGTGCAGGGCTGCTCTGCAAGTGCACCGTGAACACCGATCACCCACTTCATTCCTGGCGTTAGAAAGAAAGCAGGCAGGCTCGACCTTCCGCCATAACGTCATGTTTTGCAACACGCGGCTAAGGACAAGCTCATCTGCATGTCTGAGAGGGGGTCTGATGACAGCAGCGACGATGCAATGGGCGGTCGCGCTAGTGAATGGTATGAAGTAGGCATCTGATGAGGTGTAGCGACCACCACGGCTTCTGCACCAGAACAATGGTTTCGGCTGATCAAAGCAAGGGTCCGATCATGGTGTTGTGGCGCCTTCGAGGGCTGCTGTGCTTAAAGTCTGGGGTTGGCACGCTGCGTGCTCTTGCGGTGTGGTTTTGGCACTTGGTGTTATGGCACGCGAGCTGCTCAGGGTCATCAGGGTGAGATTGGACTCTTGAACGTTTGAGATGGACCTTTTCTGCAGGAGCTTGGTGATCCCAGACCCTACAGACAAGCATCCCTTCTTGGAAAGGGGCTTCAGTGCAGGGCCAGGCTCTTGAGGAGACATGTTAATTCAAAACGAGCTTGTGAGGTGAAATCCAGGAGCCTTGGCCCCTTCCGGAAGCCTTGTGGGCAAGTCTATAGGAAGTGCAACGGCATCTAGAACCCATAGTTTCCCGGCTGTATAAGGCATGTCCACTTTGAGGGATGCAGGAAGAGCGCAGATGGATCTTCTCACGAAGCTGGCTCACAAAGAGCCACGGAGTCGCTAAGTTGGGCGGAAGTAGTCATTGCAGACATGGGATTTGGGGGCCTCGTGCTTCATAAACATGCCCGGGCACCATTAGCTCCTTGCCTCCGCGTCCCATATCCAAATTCAAAGCGCGCTGAGCAAAGGCGTGAAGCCAAAGCTCGCAGATGATTCGCTTGAATTCTTGAGGCTTGCGCCCAGATCCCAAAACGTGGCAGACATTTGGTTCAAGCGGGGATTTCTTTACGAGCCGACGAGTGAGTGTGCTAGCAGTATTTAGCTGTGTGGTGTTTGCTTTCGCATGCGAAGCTGGGAGCTTCCAAGCTGTTGCAGAATTCGGCGTTGTTTTTGCCCCGCGTCATCCATAGCCCTAAGGGCTGGGAGCTCGCGGTAGACAGGGCTGGAATTTCTGATCATTCTCTCCGCACTTCCCTGAATAGAGTTGATACAGGCTTTTTGTGAGCCGTCGCGAGTGGTATCCATCTTGTTCCAACTGATGTCGTGTCTCCATTTTCAAGTTTTGGCAGCCTTTGGCACCAGGTTCCATCATCGGATGAATCAGTTTGAGAAGCGTCCAGCACTTCATAGATGTTTCGGTCCTCCGACGTTCATCAACCGCGGTACCGCAAAAGGGGTGGTGTAATGTTCAGGTTTCCTTTGCCTGATAGTTCCCAAGCCTCGTTCAGACAATATCACCAGGTGGGTTGCGATAGGGATGATTCAGTTTGCCACAGCCGTGGTGGCATAGCAGCACTTGTGCTGTTATGGCAGGTTAAAATGTGTCATGGCTTCGGAAAAACCGGCATCTTGCAGTCATGGAGCCATCCATGCATTCCGAAGCGTCATCCTTCTGTAGGATTGTCTTTCTTTGTTCGTATTGGAGCCTAGGCCCAGTGGATGGAAGGTTTTTTTGAAGCCTGAGGCACCATGTGCGCAAGGGAGCAGCATAGGAGTCACAAGAACTCCCGTGGAGGTGAGAAGCCTCAGCGTTGGGCTGTCGGTGTAGGCCCCAAAAGTATGTTATGCGGAAACGCAGGGAGACGGTGGTCAGGGGCTGTGGTCATGCGTCTAACAAGCACAAGTACCGCTTTTGGGGATACCTTGGGGTCCTGAAGCCCACAACGGTGAACGCCTTCCTTGCGCACTTACTCTCGGCCATGCGAAGAAATTGGCGTTGAGAAAAATGGCTGGTCCAACTAGCTTGACATGCGTGCAGCGTACAGTAGTCAAACCATGACTAGCGTAATTCAGCTGGCTCTGTTGCTAGAGTATCTAGTTGGCGGCTATAGAGCCAGACAGTACCGAGTGTCTAGGAAGTATGTTTGATGCATTTGCATGTTTGCTGGCTAGGTTGGTGAAGATTCATCTCATGGTTTAGAGCCTCAGGCCCAAGACGAAGCTTTGCCTGCCTAGACCTAGAAGCTTTGGGGCAAAGGGAGACAGCACAGATAGTTGTGGCAGCTTGAACTGCTGATGCATGTCTTCGTGCCAGGGGCTGGAGGAATAAGTGCGAGCTGCGAACTCAGTACAAGGGTCGGGTATCGTCGGGCACGAAGGCACCTCTGGTATGCAAGTGTGAGCCATATGTAGTTTTTCCAATAGCCTAGGCCTGCCACCAGAGTGAATCCAGCAGCCCATTAGGGACAGGCCCTGCCCCCCAGCATCAAGCCTGTGGCAATCATCCAAAACCCTATAGTGCCAGTGGACCAACCGAATTTACAGTGCTGCCAAGGTTCACCATCGGCCGCGACGAAAAGGGTGTGTCCTGGCGACAGTTGAGCCTGACAAATGAGGGATTGCTTTGGCAGGCCCAGGTCAAGTCTTGTTTCAAGCATCCTCCTGGCCGTCAGATTCGCGTGTGCATTTCCAATTCCAGCTCTGTTCCGCTTTCACTGATCCTGGTTTTTGTTGTGAGCTCTTCTGTGTGCCCACCCAGGCAGTTGAGGTAGGTTTCATCCTGAAGATCCTGAGCGATGGCGCGCAGGCTGACTTCTGTGTAGAAGCTCTGCCGCCTGATCTGGTTGAAAGCTTGCTTCCTGGGTGCTTACCACTCGCGTTGTATACATCTGCGTTTGGACGCCAAGCAGACCGGTTCTAGGATGTTGTAGGCAGACTCAGGGGTCCGTCAGATCTCAGCAACGGTTGGGACTTACACTGGAACACCCCCGACCTTTCTTCAAACTTGGGTCTGTCAGATATGCCCAATTGACAAATGGCTGCGTGGATAGGTCGTTGGAAGCGTTCAGGACGTACCGTCTCAACCTCAGTCTAGCCCAGGCAGCTCTGCTGCCAGTTTCGAGGTTTGTTGCTGAGAATGAAGCATGGTAGGCTTCACCCAATGTTTCCCAGTATTCAAACGTGAGGCTGGTGCCGTCTTGCATGCAGCGCTTGTGCGGAGTGGCTCCTTGGCCGCACTTATGGCATAATACAGGGAAAACAAGCTTATCAGTGGCTACTCCTGATGGTTTTCAATCTTCTCAGCATGCTCGACCGCCTGCTTGGCAATACAGGACCCAATCCTCAAATCTCTCTGTGACCTTGTGCCAGCCTCCAGTCCAGGTAGCTGCATTTGTCGCCAAATCCAAGCACCCCATCTATGACCGAAAGGCGTGTTGGTGGGAAATTTTGGTTTCAGGGTTGCTGGGGTCGGGAGCTTGGATAGATGACAACGTTACATGGCATGGTCCGATTTGAGCAGATGTTTCAACATGAATGTTTGGATCCCATTAGAGAGACAGCAGATTTCTTGTTGCAGCCCATGGCATCTGCAGGTGCATATGAGTTGGTGTCAGGTTGCAGCAACCAATCAAGTCTTCATAAACTGAGGAGGCCACATCACACACCCCAAGCCTTTTGCAATCATCTTTTGTGGGATAATGATTCCTAAGACACCCGCGTCTAGCCCTAGAGAATCCTTGCTCTTACATGAATTATATTATAGCCGAAACTCCTAGCATTCCCTTAATAAAAGCCCTAAACAGCAGCCCTATGCAACACCCTATAATCCCCTTTAAAGAGTTTGGACTACAGCTCACATGACCTCCACATCATCTCAGTACCTGAGCTTTGCTCCGGTTTGCTGGTAGCAGGCCAAGTGTGGGGTTTGGCGGACGATCCTCTCCCGCGTGAACCCTGCTGGGGACATGCAGGGCACAAAGCACACGGAAACGCAAGCCATGTACATTTGTGTATATAGGCGTGCGCATATGGATTTTTTGTACATACAGACATGTATTCATTTATGTATGGGAGACGTTCAGAGGCTGTGCGCACTAGAACGAACTGGCAGTGCTTGTATCATGCTTGCGTGGGATGGTAAGGCTCTTGATGGTGCAGACGACCACGGTCAAGGAGGAGGATCGACCTGCCTTTGCATGGTCCCAAGTCCACACGGCTAACTTCCAGAACCTTGTGTGAAAGCAAGATGAAACCCTCAAGTTGCAGCAGCTCACAGAGAAGCTCCTACCAAGACCGAGCCCTTGGTGGCGGAGCTCGCAGCCAGCGGCCTAAACATCACCTCAATTTTCCAGATCTTCAATGACGAGGCCCGCGAAGCTTGGCACACGTTGTCAGGGCCGGTTTGATCAGCAACTAGCGACACAGGAGCTGCAGTCTGACGTTGAGTTTGATTTTTTCATAGTAGTTGTATTACGTTGCCCTTCAATGCCCGGCGTAGATTGGGATCTGGGTATAGAGAGAAAGCGTAGCACTGGCAGACGCCTGGTCAGGTCACAGACGCGGCGAGGCCCAATGCTGTGGCCTGGGACCCAGGTGATGTCAGCCTGGGCTGATGCCGGCCCTTCAACAGGCATCTTAGAGAGTTGCTCTCCAGTGCAGCCAACGACATGAAAGCACCTGAAGACCAAGCACATTCTCAAGGGATGTTACGACCAAGTAGCGCAGAAAGAGAACAGCCTTTCCGGTGGGATTTGAAGGTCACCCATCTGCACGGCAAGCCCAGGCCGGAGCAAAAAGCCTCATTCCAGTTCGCAATGGTTCGCACTTTAATTTCAGAAATTGCGCAGATAGTTTCGCAAACCCCAACTGTGCGCATGCGCGAAAGTGGCGCCATTTGTGCTTCCGCTGTGGTTGTAACACCTGACTCAAAGCGTCGGTTATCGTTTAGCAAGATGATACATCCGGAATTGAGTTGCTCACTCTTCTGTCTTTACGTATGCCACAATGGCATTGACACTTCAGTGAGGTTTTCCTGGAGCTTCCTGCAGCAACAAATATTGTTCTGTGATGTACGTAATACTTTCCCCCAACCTCCCCCCTTTCCCCCCACCCACCACCTCCGAACATCGAGAAAGAAGAGTGAGAAAATCGAGCTGGGATGTAGCATATTGCCAAAACAGTAGATGACGCGTTTGCTTCTGGTGTTAAAGCCACAGCAGCTGCACATTCGCGCGTCCGAAATTGCACTTTCAGATGCGAAGTTGGGGGCTGCCAAAATAGCCAATGCTATTTTTGTTTGCAGAGGATTCTGCTCCTAAGGAATGAACTCGGTAGGTCCTGGCGGGGGCAGCGGGGATTAAGGTGCCACACAGCTTTCCACGTCCAGAGGACTACCTGTACTGGCAATCATTTCTTATGCAGATTCCAAGTCGTCAGGCTGCTGTAGAGCAAGCCGACAAGTTTCACGTGCACGCAACACAATCTCCGGCTATGAAGTGCCACAAGAGGGTTCGTACATGGTCTTGCACAAGTCACCGAAAAATCCACAGCAGGACACGGTAGAATGACCTGCACGTAGGCTTGAGATGCCCATGTTGGACCTCAAGCTTGAGATCGGCCCACTGCTCCTCAGCTGCGCCAAATGGAAGCCCTCTCCAGAAACGGGATTGTCATCCTTAAATCGGATGGACGTTCACATGGAGATGATGTCAGTCGTCGCAAGCAGCTTCAGCTTTGGGGGTCATGATGCTTGACTCAATTCCAGCCAGACCTCAGGAACAGATCATAGCAACTTGCTGGAATTACAGGGTGTTTCAGATTGCTTGATTCGCGTTTACCTGCTCCTCGTCCTCTCCCTAGTGCTACTTTTTCATCGTCCGGATATCGCAAACTTGCGGGAGGCATTCATGCCTGCGGCAGGTCCTTCTTCAACCCAAATACAACAACGTGCCGCTTCCTCATGGAGACGGCGATTAGGCAGCTTGGCCGGAAGAGTGCACGTATTCTGCACATACAAACAAAAACATCTACAACGGCAACAGCCACCACCCTTATGACTGCCGCCACCACCGCTGCCGTTGGTGGCAGCAGCAGCAGCAGCGTCACCACCACCTCTGTCCTACTTCTACTTCCATTTGTTGCAATACCATTCTTCATGCCAAAACTTGCTAGGATCCTTTGGCAAATTCATGTTTCATGTCACGCAATCGAACCTTGATGAGGGCCCTGTTGAAGACCCACTTTTGCCACTATCCGGCAGTGACGAGGATGCCTCCCAAACCAGTTCAGGAATTTCTGCAGACTAATGGACTAGAGTGTGCTGCGATACAAGTAAGTAATAATAGTTTCCTTCTAGGTTTGGGAGAAATCATCCATGGAAATTCGCTGTGCGGACCAGGTACCTCAAGCTCAGGAAGACAGATGTCACTTCCCAGCACGTAGAGTCGCAGATGAAAAGGATTGTGGGTTTTTGTGCGGTCGGAATTCACAAACTAGGGTTCGCGGCCAGGATTCTCGGGAAGGGTCAGAGGAGCTTCGCGTGATGATGCTTCAGCGTCAGATCCTCCCAAGCACTCAAACAGTGCGCCGGAAAATTCAAGTCATGTGTTCAGTTAACAACGGCCCTCCAGCAAACATACAGAAGTGTTATTGCAGGGTGCAGACGCGAACTGTACCACGCCTCTTCCTTGAACATTCACCATGACATACGCACAGCCAAGATTTTGCTGGACATCTTCTGCGGCATTGGGACGATTGGCCTCTGTGCTGCGAGCTTCTGCGCCAAGGCTTTCTTTTCCAGTCTCATGCTTCAAGGGCGAACAAATTTCGGGCTGGGGTGTCTTGCCTTTCACTTCGGGCGTTCGGAGAGCGTTTGGCGCAGCATCGCTAATGTGATGTTTGCACGTTTGAGGAAGCGGCCAGTGGTCCTTGGTCTCGTATGCACTCGTTCAGGGTTGACAGTCAAGATCCAGTGCGGAGGTGATTGGTGTGGACATCGTTGAAGAGAACATCGAGGATGGCGTGGCTTCTTTCTCGACCGCAGCGCCTCTTCACAGGCAAGCCGCCCTGATGTCAAGGATGCGCGCCGAAATGCGCAGCAGAACTCGATCTCCAATACAGAGTTCATTGCGGGGGCCTAGATCTCCCCTGCAATGTGCAAAGCTCCTTTCATCACACAGTAGTATCTGTTGTCTTCATGTTTGAGGCTCGAGAGTGTGGCATTAAGCCTGTCACCAACATAGATGGTTTGCCTCTTCATGACCATTTCCTACCCAGCGACCCCTTTTCCGAATGCTTCGTAAAGTTCCAAGCCTGGGCCTAGGCGGGAAAGGCAGAAGAAGTTGTGCCCAAGATCCTTGGTGACATGGATACGTCGCTGGAGGCAGGGGTTTAGGTTTTGAAGGCTGGGCGTCATGGTATTCTTTCAGCGCCCATGCCAGCAGAGCTCTTATCTGGTGTATCTGTGTCGAGGTTGTCGCTGTGGTGGACCCATCCAGGGCAGGCACTGTCCGAATGCCCAATCCATACCTGAGTTGCGGTGAAGAGTTCATGGACGAGTAAAGTGGCTTGTGGATTCAGTGCATGCCTGTCCAGGATGTGCAAAGCACAGGTTGACTTGTAGGCATGGTGTGCCCAACGTGTTCCTTGTTGCCTGCTATGTTTTGGCCCAGGCCACGCCAGTGTAAGGCTGTGGTAGTTGTTGTATGTCCACACATCACCAGGTGCGCCCCACTCAGTACTTTTCTTTCACTGCAGTGAGACAAAAGCCAAGCAACCATATCCTCCTCGAGCAGACCCTGAGCCCCCAACTTCTTCAAGGCAACTGGCTGGAACATAGGCTGTGTTTCACTGCAGGGTCCAACTGGCCCTCTAGTCGCCCAGTTGGGCCGCAAGCCATGCCTTCTGCGCCACAGATGCTAGGTTCAGTGCTTATGAAATACAAAAGATGCAAGGATTTGAAGCAATTTTGCTTCCTGCTGTTTGCCTTCACACTATCCTCAGCAACGTGTCCCATGCAAGCTGCCTCTAATCTATGTCTCATCCCCTGCTACAGGGCACTACAATAGGAAGAGGACGGATTTTCATGGCCCCTGAGGCGGAGGCAGAAGGGGCAAAGAGGCGCTGCCCGCCCTCGGCTTCTCTGCCGCATCTCTTTGCTGTATGAGGATGTTTCAAAAAACAAATCAAGCAGCGAAGCCGTTTGTGCACGCAGTCTGGCAGGTTGGTACGAGAAAAGCTTGGAGCTGAGATGTGTCATCATCACGTTGAGCTTTGTGCAAGTTTAAGCCTTGGATGACAGAGAACATCAGTTGCCAACGCAGCATGCATGACTTGACAGAGGTGGTGGTAGGCTGTCGACACAAGTGCCGCGGTTGCACGCAGAGTTGGGGCAGGCCTGTAGAGGCTCGGGAGTCCTGTATACCTTAGAGGCTCTGACGTCCATCGCAAGCATTGGAGCTTTCTTGTCAATCCGAAGTTCTCAAGAAGCTCGAGATTGTAACTAGCAGCTCCTCAGGACCAGGTTCGCTGCAACAACCTCGAACTGCTGGACGTTGTGCAGCTCGTCTTTTTGAACGTGGCAGAGTTTTTAGTTCAGGGTCGGCCAAGAGAGAGGGAAGGAGGCTTGTTTTTTTTTGGGGGGTGTCGAAGACTGAGATCCGAACTTCGACATCTCCCCAGATCTCGTTGAGAATCCTGCTGTAGACTTGCAATGGCGTCATATGCTTTTGAAGTGCGTTGGGGGAACACCAACGCCCAAAAATCCGCAACATGCGCTCTCATCTGCTGCCCACTCTAGCCAAGAGAGCTGATGCTGGGGACCTCTGGAGACAGCTTAGCCACTTATACTGTAGTCTAAACTCCTAAAAGGGGATTATATAGAGGATTATATAGGGGACTACTATAAGGCTTATAATTAAGGGGGATAGTAGGAGTTTAGACTCTGGCTCATTTCTTCGACCAAGGATTGGAAAGTGGAAGGACCAGGACGGCTCAATCTACTCTGCTCCTGGTCTCAAGCTTGAGTTCCTGCGCCTGAAACATTGAGCGCTTGCCATACAGTATGGGCCGAGAAGGGCATGCTTCTGCTCGAGTTTGTAGGTTTCTGTTGATACACATGGAGCTTCAACGAAGGGATCCGAATTGTGCACAGTTCTGCAGCATGCGCGTCCAGGGTTTGCAATCACCCCGGTCCCCAGATATCCTCAAACTCCAGGCCCATATTTTCAGTCAGCTTTGACAGGACCCCAGATGCTTCTTCTTGACTCTTGGGTGTATGACATTGTCAGGGTGTTTGCCACCCTGTGCATAGTCACCATGACCTTGATATCCCCTACCTCCGTTCCGCCCTTGGTCTCGGCCATGTCCTCGCCTCCTTCTCCAACCCACGTGCCACGACGAAGCACCCCAGCAGGGCAAACCTGCTGCTGTCGTTGGAGTTTATTATCTAGCGTCTGCCGCGGCCGCGGTAGGTTGCGCGGTAGGTTGGCCTCGTTTCAAGTGCAAAGGAAGATACAGGATGCATTGCGACCTCATGTAGTTTTTTTTGGCATCCGGAAGTTAGCCATCGTTCAGCATTAGCAGCCGCAACGCCAAAGCTGAATAGACGACATCGAAACAAGCCTTGAGTGCCTTCAGGTGCAGCTTGATAGCGGCCTGGAGCAGAACAGCTGCACGGCCCCTCTGAAGCATTAGTCTTCATTGTAACCTCCAAGCCTTGTGCAGTCCTCGTGGAACAGTGAAATTATGTCACCACCCCAGCACACTGTCTGTGAGAATGTGTGTAGCCAATGCATGATGCTTACCTTGAAGACCAGCGCGCACAGCAAGATGCCAGCAACTCTCGCAGTATCTAGTGGAAAAAAGTCACCATGGAGGCTGTTGTCTGCCTGATAGTGGCAGTAAGAACGAAATTACTATTCACAACAAATGGTTTTGAGCCACTGCGGATTGAAATGCATGATGGACGTGGACCTCACAGGTGGTCGTTGACGTCAACCACGTACTTCGGATATCCCCGGATAGCTAAACTCCGCATTCAGGCGCCCATCTACACCTTTTTACTGCATGTTTGAATCGCCTGATTGGAACGCCAACATTGTACAGCCAACGCCAAGCAATTGAAGTTCCTGCAGCGTCCTCCTGTCCTGCAGGTCTACACCACGCGACCTTCCGGCCGCACCATCACTACCCAGGGCCTGATTCGAGTACGGGGAGAGCAGGTTCCGCTGCCGCGCTGATCCTTGCACAGGGCACTGGCTTGAGAACAGATCTGCTTGGAATTAGATTCGTGTACAACGCATAGGCAAATTCATGCAAATTCAGCATGTCTTCCTTTCATTCGCTATCTGCAGTGCTTGGTCTTGGTTCAAGCAGCACACTCCAAGAACACGGCAACGTCTGGTGCAAAGAGGGGTCTACACTGCCAGGATCTCTGCGGGCCAGATCGGCTCGGTAAGTCACGAACCTGAATCCCAATCTCACTCGGGAGGGCCTAGAATGCTAGAACAGCTTGGAGCCTCAGGAAAGCGCATCAAAATTCCTTTTCGTGGCTTTCCAGCCTGTTGCCTCGGCGCAGCTATGGCGCGGCGCAGACGTCACGAGCGGCACGCTGATGATGTGATGCAGAATGCAGCACCGCCGCAGTTCAAATCTGTAGCAGTGAAGATCTTACCGGATATGGCTATGAGCACTTTAGTGCATTCATACCTCACAATTTCCGGTGAGAAAGGCTTCGTAGGAACTGTGGTAGAGGACGTCGGCAAACAATGCCGTAGAAATGACCTTGGCAGTTGATGTCATTGTGTGGACGCATTCCAAGTGGAAGCAAGGGTGGACAAGAACTATGACAGCGGTAGTGACAAGCGCCCCTGACAATCATTGCGACCCATGGGTGGCGCACCACGCAAGAGTTTGCACTAGGCTTTGGCCATCAACTTGCGAGGTGCCACCCATATACTATGCACCAAAAGTGTCGTAAACCTGTATAGCCCTATAAACCCCCACCAACATATTCTTACAGAACCGCTTCTGTGCAGTGCAAACCGTTAAGCCGAAGAATATTGGGGGATCTTGCGGCAGGGTGCCATGCTGAGGACATTTACCTGCTGGGTCGACGGCTTGTGCGAATCCTGCGCCACAGAGGCTTACAAACTCAAAGCCGTGCTATTGTCCTGATTTCTTGGGCCCCTGATAGTAACCCACAGGATGCGCAACAACTCAGGCCCTACCCTTTTTTATGATTCCGATGTGAGCCGCCAGCCAACGGGGTAATCCACGGACCTAATGTATGAGTACATAAACCCTTATGGCTTAGATGTCGCAGGCGGTGGGAGAAGCCTGAAGTTGCGTCCTGACGGCTTCATGCTCATGGAGGAGGCCAGTGAGCCTTCTGTAAAGGGCGGAAAGCTGAATGTGGGTTCTCGTTGGCATCATGCTTGAGGTTCTGTAGTTAACGGTGACTTAAAGCTACCCCAAACACTGCCCAAGGAGCCCTGCGTAGAAGCCTTCATGCATCAAGTAAGTATTTTCGGTTTTTGCGGCAGCGGTTAGTGCTGTTCGCAAGGTGACAGCCAAGTTGAAGCGCCGCATGGAGTCAGTGACGTTGCAAGACGTCCCTTTGGCAGAAATGATCCCTCCAACTGTCGGGCAGAATGCGCTGTCTCTAGGCTTCCGCATTCTGTTCAAATCTCGTGCCTGACAGCCCCAAAACCTGCGCCCTGCTTCACAGCAAGCTCTCTGGATAATTCTGGGACGCAGTTAATTATTTGCCTCGTACTTGCTCTGTTTGGATGGTCTTAATCCCGCGGATGGCTTGCGCAGTTTGGAAGCCAGCAGCCCAGGTCGACCAGGTTGCCCGGCGCGATCCTCGTCGCTTTGAGCGCCTTATCTGCATTTGCATTGACTTTCGGCTGTGTTCGGCCAGCTGTCCTTCAGCACGACATGTGCTGTGCTGTGTTGTGCTGTGCTGTGCCCTCTTGAGCCACATCTGTAACTTTGCCCCTGATGGGCGATTGACTCAAGTTGTTCAATCGCTGGATTGGATGCTGTCAGAATTGAAGCTCTTCCGGGCTTAGCCAAGTGGCTGTGCGACTGGCGCGGTCTGATTGGAGAGTTTCCTTGAAGAAAGGCTGACCAACTCTCGCGAAGGGCGCTTGCCGCTTTTCGGCATTCAGAAGACCGAGAGACTGCTCTGATGGTCGACAGCACATGCTTAATTTGCCTGGGTGCCAATTTTGCTCATTGAGCGCGGAATTCATGTATCAAGCCAAGGATTCGTGCTAGAGAAGGCCATACCAATGCGGTAGACCCTGCTCTGGTGGCACGCGCAGCTGAGGGGAACCTCGTTTCACAAGCTCCTTTAGTACCTGTTGTTAGAAACCATTGAAGCCTGTGAAGTGTCTAAGAGTTCCGAAATGTTGCCCACCAGAAGGACAGTGGATGGCCCGCTCCGGTCAGTGGGCTTCGCTTACGGCGCAGCTGAGCCGCCCCCGCTTGATGCTT